GTTTAGATTATCCATATATATATATATATATATATATATATTCTTTTCACTCCTTTTTCTTTCAGCAAATGTCACTTACAATAAGTCTTATTACAATAATTCTTGCTTCAAGAAAAAAGAACTAACAAATCCGAGATCTTAAAAAAATTTGATGCTACTAAACCAATTTCTTTAAACAAAAAAAATAACCAAAATTCTTGTGCTTGGGAATATAAAGACAATATAATTAAATGTGGCAATAAACAAAAAGAGAGTGCCAAATATTACCTAAACTGGGCTTATTATGCCTCACACAAGTCATCCATGATCAATGAGAAAATAACCATAATTCCTGTGCTTGGGAATATAAAGACAATATAATTAAATGTGGCAATAAACAAAAAGAGAGTGTCAAAGATTATCTAAACTGGGCTTATTACGCCCCACACAAGTCATCCATGATCAATGAGAAAATAACCACAATTCCTGTGCTTGGGAATATAAAGATAATATAATTAAATGTGGCAATAGACAAAAAGAGAGTGTCAAAAATTACCTAAACTGGGCTTATTACGCGCCACACAAGTTATCCATGATCAATGACTTATATTCAATCTTACATGAGAGGCAAGCAAAAAAAAACCATAAAAAACCTTAATCTTGTTCAAAGCCTATAAAAATAGATTGTCTCTACCCAAAATCTCTACATCTTATCTTTCTATCTCTCTCTTAACTTACCAAAAGGGGCACGTCCCACGTAGAATATATATCTCTCTCTCTTAAGAAAAGTTTTTCTTTATCTCATGATATCCCAAAGGGAGCACGTCCCATTCTCTCAGAGATCTCTCTCCCTCCCACATTGGGAAAGAACCAAACGGATTTAGGCTATTGAGAATTGTCATCTCTCTCATGGTATCTCTCATAATCTTTCATATCTCATTGGGGTTTTAGGCATAGGGTTGTGGCAGAAAAGAGAAGCATATCTCTCAAACTAGGTTGCTAAAGGGATTCACCTAGGATTTGA